CAGAAGTAAATAATGAAACTGGTGTCTAGGTCATCTGACCATCCAGCCAGTTCTACCATGCTAAGATCAGAGAGCTAATAGAAAATTGATATTTAAAACTCCAGATGGTGACATTCTAGCCATTAAATACATTTTTTTAATCACTAGAAAAATCAGTTAAGGTTGAGGAAGTATCTGGGACATATTTTCTTTAAATTAATTTTTATATGTTGACTTTTAAAAGAAAAAAACAAATGCACATATATTTTAAAAAAGCAAGTATTTTTAAAATTACACAGCTCACATAGCCTAGTTATGCAGAGAGCTGCTATATATTCTTAGAATACCATCAAGTACACAAAAGTGTTCCAAAGTGAAGGAAGTATCTGCCCCTTGGGTAGAAAAGCCCACCCTCTGGGTTCCCTGTACTAGGAGGCAGAATTACAGGGTTCAATCAAGAGGGTCAGCACATCTTTTGAGAGTAAATTGACAGATTTGGTGTCAACAAGGGATCACTGAGGAAGCTTTGATTCTATGCAGCATGATGTTCCAACTTTAGTTCTGCTTCACTTCGGCCCATTTGAAAAGTGGTGCAGAAAACAGGAATGGAATGAAACTTAACCATATGCTAAACTTTCTGCTTCACTTCGGCCCATTTGAAAAGTGGTGCAGAAAACAGGAATAGAATGAAACTTAACCATATGCTAAACTTTCTGCTTCACTTCGGCCCATTTGAAAAGTGGTACAGAAAACAGAGGAATGTAATGAAACTTAACCATATGCTAAACTTTCTGCTTCACTTCGGCCCATTTGAAAAGTGGTGCAGAAAACAGAGGAATGGAATGAAACTTAATCATATGCTGTACTTTGAAGCACAGCAAATGCACTTTTTCAGGCTTATGAAGTAACCTTCTGGCATCATTGATTCCTGAGTCTTACAAAAGCTCTTCGTATTAAGCCTGCACCACAGATTTACACTGCTGCAACTCCTGTCAGACAGCATCTTCGCTTTATGAATAAATAAAACTATGCTCTAGGGAAACATTGATTTAAAAGAAAAAATCAATACCCATCTAGCATGTGATAGACTTGAACTTTAGGGCTACTCATCTCCAAAGTATAATGCAATATTAAGTGTAAAACCATACCTTTTTGCTTCCTAATAAAAGGTAAGTGAGGGTATGTGAAATTGGCAGGCATACTTGCCTTTCACAATCTTTGGTACATCAGGATTCCCCTTCTCCTTTAGAAAGTATTAGTGGATACATCCAAATGAAAGAGGAAGAAAAGAGAAAAATGAGACGGATGAACAAATAGGGGCAAAATCTTGATAATTTGTGAACATATATGGTGAGTATATGATTCTGAATATATTATTGATTCTTTTGTGTGTGCAAAACTTTTCATAATAAGAATTTGAAAAGTACTTATGTTTGGAGAAAATTCTACAAGGCTGATGTCAGTAAGACCAACCAAGATGTTGACAATGGTTCTCTTTAAGTAATGGTTCTCTTCTCATAGGGAAGCTTTTTTCTTCCCTGGGAGTTTGTATTTTCCAATTTTCTGTAGTGAATATGTATATTGCTTTTATAATTCAGAAAACACATGCATAATAAATGTAGGGAAAGATAGAAAAAAAGATTAATTAGATTGATGGCAAAGTATTTTGCTAACTACTGGCTTAGAGATAGTTGAGATTTACATCATAACGCATATTTACATTCAACTCCTTCCTGCTCTTGGACGTTGTTCAGGGCACAAGCAGGTTGCTATTAAAATGGACTGATTTAAAAAATGAAGTTAATCGCTTATGCTGAAATTAACCTCATCTTTGTGAGCCAAAGATCAAATGAGAGACAAAAGCTGGCCAAAGTCATCATTTTCCTTAGCTCTGCAATCACCTTATAACCTAAGCCTATTTTTCACAGTGGAGATGGTTGTTAAAAGTTCTGAGAGGTCTGTGGTAATTTTTGATTACAAAGACACTCCAGAAAGCCCAGGCTTTTGCTTTCTTGCTCAGAACTGGGTGGAATTAAAAATGAATCCCATTATCTTTCTCTAGCTCCTCAAACATGCAATTCTTCACTAACTGTGTTAACTGCAGCCACTCAAGAAACACAATCATCTCTTGATTTGGATTAGGGGCTCCTATCTCACCAGATAGTTACTGATCCTGGCTGTTCTCATTGCTTGTCTTTTTGATAAGTGGAAAGTACAACTCTGGACATTTGAAACACACTTCCAAGACAAAGGCACATTGGAAGCCTGAAAATGGGTTGGAGTCATTTAAATGCTGAGTTCCAAAGTAAAACATCATAAAAGTAACTATCATTACCAAAGTCGATAAGGATATTGGCTGAATCTACTTCCAAGGCAGAAATGATATACAGTTACAGGTTCTACAAGTATGTGGCTTCTGCCTTCCACTGTTATCAGCTGGAGAGGAGAAGGGACATAAATTGTTTTGGTGACTCTTTAATACATCAATACTAAAAGTAAAATAGAAGCAAAACATTATTGTGAGAAAAATGCTTATATTTGGTCAGAGGAAAGCACTACTTGAGATTACACAAATACTATCTTATTTTTTTTATTACAATTTCAGAGATACACTCATTTAAAAAAAAATTAGAGCACCCACTCTGTGTTAATATGTGCAAGGAATTCATTAGATGTTGCAGTTACAAAAATAATGAGATCTGAATCTATAGGAAGTTCAGTATCTATAGGAAAGTCAGAAATATAAGTGGATAATTAAATACGGTATGATCAGAGATACAACTGAAGAATTGTGGGAGCCCAGCTATATGGGGGAATCAGGGAGGGCTTCTCAGAGGAGATGGGAATTGAGGTGGATCCTGAAGGATGCACTGGAATTTATAAAGAAAAAAAAGGGGCAAGGGCATTCTCAGAAGTGAGAACAATATGTGCAAAGGCATGTGTGCCTGAAAGGACACCGTGTGTTGCAACATCCAAAGAACTTCAGTCCTAATGAAGCAGATTGCAAAGCAGGGGAGGCAGGCAGTGCATGGGAGGGGCACAGAGGGCCCATCCATTATGGAGGGCCGCATCAAGGTGTTCCCATCTGCTCTCAAGGTTACAAGGGCCCACAGAGGTCACTGAGCAGGAAGTCACATTACAAATCCCAATCACATTTGGGAGCAGGGTACCTAGAGTGGGGACAGTTTGTTGGAAGAGAGCTATGTTGCACCCAGCAAGACACAGGTGCAGAGTTAAGGCCTGAACTAACATAGTGACAGTGGGGAGCAAAGGAAAGGAGGATCAGCAAGGTATTTACAATGAACATTTGTTGATGGCTGGCGGTTAATATTTGGCTTCACCAAGTGCCAGTCACCATCCTAGGAACTTCCGTATATCATCTTAAATCCAGGATCTGGTATGAACTGATTGCAGAAGGCGAGAGAATGTGAGGGTGGAGATTTCTGACTTGAGTTATGGGTTGACGGTGGTGCCTTCCTTTAACTGAAATATTGATTCCAGGAGAAGCAATCAGTTGTAAGGAGAGGATGAAAGAGGAGGGGCAGGGAAGACAGTTCACTGCACACATAGTAATTCTGAGGGCTAATTGGTATATACAAATGAAGATAACCAAAACAGTGGGGTCAGGAGTTTATCAGAGAGCACACTGGAAATGTGTGTATAATTTTAAAAAGGCAGAAATATATCCTCATAGTATAATTAAAGCAATCAGTCACATACACAAAAGCAGTACATAAAACAGTGCTTTCCAGAAGCTCAAGAATTCTGTGACTCTACCACAGAAACATCTGAGACCTATTATAACATAGATTTTTGGGTTAAATCTTAAGTCACCCTATCTAGAAAATGCCCTGCATTTCAGGCCCTCAAATAATAAATGTATAAGGCAAGCAGTTCTACTGGAAATGGAAGGGCTTTAGAGAAAACAGTATTTCATCCTTGAATGGAGATTCTTGTCCAATGTTGGGAGATCAGAAGAAGACATTTTTGCAGACTGGATAATCAAAGCTCTTAATTCTTTAGACTAAGTGAGTTAACAAAAGGCAAGCTGTTTTCCATGATTTGCAGTTATATTTTAAAAGACCTCAGAGGGGAACCCAAATGACCTGAATAGAGCTCCTTGCTTTCCTAAGAGGGAAGGGTTACTCAGACAAGAGAGAGAATCTCTCAATAAGTTGAAGGAAAAATTCAATTAAGACAGTGGTCTATTTAACAAGATTCCTTCCATGAAGAGATTGGCAACATTCAGGTCATATGTACTCCTTTCTTTTAAGCTCACAGAGGAATTGAGTAATGATGTATAAAGGATAGGGGTCAATCAGAGCACAATGCTTGAGGTTGTAAATCTTTTTAAATGGGTGGACATAGCATTTCAAAGTCCAGGATTATGAAAATTGGTAACTATGCAGCAAACTCTTGCTAAAATCAAATATAGAGAGTCTTCATGTTAACTTGTTCATTGAGGTTAGATGTTTTTCTGGGTTGGGCTCTATTCAAGGATGACCAGAGGGCATTAAGGAATTTTGATATGACTTTATTATCAGCACACATGAGATCACTAATACGACTAGTGATAACAGTAAATGCAGCCTCTTAGATTTTTGTTGTTGTTTTTGATGGTGATAGTGCTGAGAATCATGTTAGTCCATTAATCTGTCCATCAATTATCAGAGGGTATCCTATTATTATTTCCATGTCAAAGATAAGGAAAGAGATTGAGATGGTAGGCATTATGCCCCATTTTCCACAGGCATTACAGGGCAGAGCTAGGGCTGTGCCTGTCACCAAAGGGAAACGCCATACTGCAGAAGGCATGACTGCTGGGTGTCTCAGTCTCTGTGGCACAAACCCATGGTGCTCAACACAAAATTGGACTAGCAAATACTGCTGAGATTTTTCAGCTTCAAAGCTGCCGTCCTTCCATGCAGAGTCCCCAAATAAACCACTGTCACCTGTACAAAGTTAAGCTAAAAGCAAGCTTAAATAACTGAGAATATAGAATAAGCCAGATAAATGAATACCTTGAAGTCACTCTTTTGCAGCTTGGAAGTTGCACCCAATTGCTGAAATACGAAAACAATCTTGTGTTTTCTGGAAAAGAAACACAAGAGGAAACAATTTCAAAACTGAACTGGAGGAAAACTGCAATGACTAAGAATAAAATGATTACCTTTTCATTTACTCGTTAAAGTTCTGAGCAATAAAGCAAGCATCTGACAAGCAATTATTTAACTAACTTCAGTACTTTATTGCTATAAAGAAAGACTACAAACAACAGTTAAGAATTGCTCTTAAAATAGTCACAGACCTGTATATTATCCCAAATTTTATATGAAAGTAAAAATGATGGTGTCAATCACATGTGCTCTCGATGATTGATTAATTAATTATGCCCATGCTGTTTTTTCACTCAAGGATTCCTTCCACTTCCTGCTTATAGACACTGATGGTAACTATGAGTTAGCACCATGTACCTCAAACATGGACCTTTTGAGTTCTGCAAGGCGCTACGGATTAAAACAAAAACAAAAAAGGTTGTAAGCCTCAAGAAGATGATAGTTCTGTCAGAACAAAGATGGCTGGGACATATTGTACAGAACTGTACGACTATTGTTGTAAAATATTTAGCCACATTATTTTATGTTTTCATCTTGAAACATGCTATGTTTTTGTTAGCATGGTTTCTTATGGTTAACATAAAACTGTATCACTTATAAAGACCACTTCCTCTAGAGGAAGTATGATTCAAGTTTGAGGAATGTAACCTCAACTCTCAAGTTGTGTTGTTGACTGTGGATCTGCGAAGGCATGTTAAAGCATGCTAAATGGGGTAAAAACCATCGGCAGGGAAGGCATTACTCAATAACCAGTTTCAGGGGAAGTATTCACTCAGGGAAACCAATGCATTTGCTTTTTCTTTTTTAGTAAAGTTTAAAAAGGAAAAGAGAGAAGCTATTTCTTAGAAAGAAATGGAAAGCAAAACAATGCTAGAAAGACCAAAGAGAAATAGTAAAGTTGACAACATGCAAGGTGGTGGTCCCTCCATGACCTGCCAGCCAGACGAGAGTACCCCACCCCGCACCCCATCTCATGGGGCCCCTGCCCACGTGGTGGAAGAGCCTCCCAGATGTCAGCGCCAGGAGAGAAGTGAAGTAAATGGCACGAGAGAGTTAACCTTCAGGGAAGGCAGGGAAAGTGTAAAGATCACCTTTGCTGAGTGTCCACTTTCAACAAAGAGAGGCAGTGTAAATTTGCCTTTTGCTAAGAATTCTCCATTCTGAACTACTAAGCATTACAGCTCAGCAATATTGTGGGTTCTGGAAGCTTTCCTGAAAACTCACCGTTTTTAAAACCAGGAAGATGAATTTCAAGCTCTAAACTACTGTGTCAGAAACAAGGGTTTGGGAACAGTACCTGTCCAAAAGTGGAGAAATAACAATTTTGAGACAGTGCTAACTTGAAAAAACACTTACTGATAAAACCTCCATGCTAGCAAAGAAGGCCCAGTTCAGGAGACCAAGTTATCAATGTAAATGATACAGAGACAAGGAATAACAGAAGTATGTACAGGTTGTGAGGTTGTGAATTCAGTACAGAAAAGAGCATAAAGGCCCCATATCTATAGTTCTCCACTGCTCCTGGGCTAAAACCCAAGGCCCCTGGCATGGTCTGACATGGTGCCTGCCACCTACCAGTCATATCTCATCACCTCCCTCTCACTATCCTCACCTTCTATCCGGGGAACTCCAAGCCTCTGCCACACTGTTTGTTTGCTTGTGTGTGTAGGTGTTACTTTTAAAGGCTGAACAACTAATGTAGAAATGCCTACCTAACAAGGCACTTGTTTTTAAGCTGGAGACCACCTGTGGCAGCTTATTAAAGGTAAGTGAATCCTGGTATCTGTCTGGTGGGACCTCCAACCTGCCCCAACATGGGTCCTCAGCCAGTCACATCCCTCTCAATCTTCTCTTTTGTTTAGAGACCAGAAAAGAAATAAACTGTAAATATCAGTGTAAGTATATAGCCCTGGCATTTGGGACTGGGTATTTCTTTGTTTTGAGGGGTTAGCATTCTTCTAGTCTTGTGACAACTAAAAATGTCTCCAGACTTTAACAAATGTTCCCTGAAGGGCAAAAACTACTCCCCAGTTGAGAATCAGTGGTGTCAAATGAATGACTTATTAAAACATAATAATATTTAAAACCTAACTTCCATTTTCTGCAGAAATACAACAGTTTGGATGGGGACCATAAGAAAGCACAGGATGGGGTAGCAGAGAGGAAGGAAAGCATGTATACTGAGCACCTGCTATGTTCTTGGCCCTGTGTGTGAGGTCAGTCATCTTATTTAATACTCACAAAACCCTCTGTGCTTTCTCTTCCTAAATAGGAGCTTGCAATGACTTATGCTGACAGTGTTATTCCAAGCAAAACACTTCAGAACAAAATAAAAATAAACACTTCTAGGACATCACATAGACCAACTGCCTAATGTTTCATCCTTGAGGATGAGCAGCACACGTTCTCATGGTGAGCACCTCCGTTCATGACTTCACAGGATGTTCCCTTTGCCAAATTAAAGCCATGTGCTTGATTTCATGAATGTAGGCACAAATGCATGTCCAAGATGTGGAGATAGATGCATGGCTAAAATACCCCCTTTCCCAAACTCCCGGCAAAGTAGGCATATTTAGCTCGTGGAACTGTTAAATGCTAAATAGTCACAGCTCTTCATCTGCATCTCAGGAGAAGAGGAAATAATCTGCATCACAGAGCAGGTGGGTTGGTTAAGTCCTGATGTAAAACTACTGACCTCCCTGGGAGCATTTAATGAGAGAGGGAAGGGACAGGCATTCTTGGACAGAATTCAATGTTGGTTTTTCCCTCCTAATTCCCCAATCAGGGCTCAATGACCGCTATTAAATGTGGCATAGTCAGGCCCAACATTATCTCCACACAGGGGTCTTCCACAGCCCTGTCTATTCCAAAAGGATGAGGGGCTTTTTAAATACCTATATTGATATGTAGTTTTTACTAATTGACTCTTCCTGCTTCTGTTCTAATATAATCACATCTTTCACTCTACTATCTACTCAAATACTTTAAGGAGAGTCTCAGTGTGCTGGCCACTTGTAAGTGAGGTTTCAATATTGACCCAAAAAGACAAAATTCTCCTGCCTCATGGAGCTTTCTAGTGGAGGTGGGAGACAAACCAGCCATCTGGCAAAACATAATCACTGAAAAAAACAACTGAAGCTAGTTTGGGGCTGGCATTACTTCAAGTGAGGAGTCAGGAAATCCTGAGCTCACAGAGAAGATGCTGATTGAGCAGAGCCCAGAAGGCGGTGGGGAAGGATAGGGTAGGGATGCAGGGGAATGGAAAGTGGCTGGCTGGCCATTGGCACACACTGGAGAGTGGTGGCAACACAAGTCAGAGAGAGTCTGGCCACTCTGGCCCCTCAGTGTGACCATCATGATGGCACCTCTGGTAGAATGAACACGCCCAGTGCTCCCATGGCCAGTGCAGGGCAGGCCCCGGCTATAGGCCCCAGGCAGACATGTGGGTAGACCCAGTAGAGGGAGCAGGAGGAAGTCCTTTTTGGAAAATCAGAAGCAAGGTTATCAGCTGAGAATAAGGATTAGAGAGGATGTGGTAGGGGCTTGAGAGCAGAGCAGAGAGTAGGAAGACATCTTCTGGGAGGGAATGGACAAGGGAACCAGCAACCTCAGGGGCTGCAGACATGAAAGCGAGGCTATTAGCTCCGTGGTGTGCTTCCCTCAGCCCCATTGCCAGCACAGGTGAAGAAGCGGCATACTCAGTGATGAGTCAGGTAAATGTGGTGAGGAAAGCGGGATGCAAAGCACCTAAGGGCGCATACATGGGATGTTATAAAGAGAGGTCATGGAATCTAAGCTGGGGAGCTGGGAATAGAGATCTGGAAGGAGGATAGTGGAAATCAGTAGGATCAATGGACTGCAGGTGTTGGTGGAGTTCAGGTATGGTTGGAGTTAGGGTATGAAAGAGGGTTGAATAGAAGAGGTGGTGATCAGAGACTGGGATGCTTAGAGAGAGACTGGGTTGAGACCTTGCTACAAAGCATGGTTCCCAGACCAGCAACATCAGCAGCCCCTGGGGACATGTGTGAAATGCAGCATCTCAGACCTACTAAATCAGAATCTACATTTTAACAGGTGACTCATGTGCACACTAAATATGGAGAAGAACTGGCTTACATTTTGGGTGAGTTGGCTCAACCTCCACTTGACCAGAAGCTGCAGGCACCCTATAAAAAGGTGTTATTGAGTAAGTTTCTGAGGTTAGGGACTTCCCTGGGGTTCTACTTCCTATCCTCTACTTTAAAAAGCTCATTTTGGCTTCTTGGCTTTCCAGCCAGCTGCCTGGTACCCTTTTGGAAGCTTTCCTGAAAACTCACCGTTTTTAAAACCAGGAAGATGAATTTCAAGCTCTAAACTACTGTGTCAGAAACAAGGGTTTGGGAACAGTACCTGTCCAAAAGTGGAGAAATAACAATTTTGAGACAGTGCTAACTTGAAAAAACACTGATAAAACCTCCATGCTAGCAAAGAAGGCCCAGTTCAGGAGACCAAGTTATCAATGTAAATGATACAGAGACAAGGAATAACAGAAGTATGTACAGGTTGTGAGGTTGTGAATTCAGTACAGAAAAGAGCATAAAGGCCCCATATCTATAGTTCTCCACTGCTCCTGGGCTAAAACCCAAGGCCCCTGGCATGGTCTGACATGGTGCCTGCCACCTACCAGTCATATCTCATCACCTCCCTCTCACTATCCTCACCTTCTATCCGGGGAACTCCAAGCCTCTGCCACACTGTTTGTTTGCTTGTGTGTGTAGGTGTTACTTTTAAAGGCTGAACAACTAATGTAGAAATGCCTACCTAACAAGGCACTTGTTTTTAAGCTGGAGACCACCTGTGGCAGCTTATTAAAGGTAAGTGAATCCTGGTATCTGTCTGGTGGGACCTCCAACCTGCCCCAACATGGGTCCTCAGCCAGTCACATCCCTCTCAATCTTCTCTTTTGTTTAGAGACCAGAAAAGAAATAAACTGTAAATATCAGTGTAAGTATATAGCCCTGGCATTTGGGACTGGGTATTTCTTTGTTTTGAGGGGTTAGCATTCTTCTAGTCTTGTGACAACTAAAAATGTCTCCAGACTTTAACAAATGTTCCCTGAAGGGCAAAAACTACTCCCCAGTTGAGAATCAGTGGTGTCAAATGAATGACTTATTAAAACATAATAATATTTAAAACCTAACTTCCATTTTCTGCAGAAATACAACAGTTTGGATGGGGACCATAAGAAAGCACAGGATGGGGTAGCAGAGAGGAAGGAAAGCATGTATACTGAGCACCTGCTATGTTCTTGGCCCTGTGTGTGAGGTCAGTCATCTTATTTAATACTCACAAAACCCTCTGTGCTTTCTCTTCCTAAATCGGAGCTTGCAATGACTTATGCTGACAGTGTTATTCCAAGCAAAACACTTCAGAACAAAATAAAAATAAACACTTCTAGGACATCACATAGACCAACTGCCTAATGTTTCATCCTTGAGGATGAGCAGCACACGTTCTCATGGTGAGCACCTCCGTTCATGACTTCACAGGATGTTCCCTTTGCCAAATTAAAGCCATGTGCTTGATTTCATGAATGTAGGCACAAATGCATGTCCAAGATGTGGAGATAGATGCATGGCTAAAATACCCCCTTTCCCAAACTCCCGGCAAAGTAGGCATATTTAGCTCGTGGAACTGTTAAATGCTAAATAGTCACAGCTCTTCATCTGCATCTCAGGAGAAGAGGAAATAATCTGCATCACAGAGCAGGTGGGTTGGTTAAGTCCTGATGTAAAACTACTGACCTCCCTGGGAGCATTTAATGAGAGAGGGAAGGGACAGGCATTCTTGGACAGAATTCAATGTTGGTTTTTCCCTCCTAATTCCCCAATCAGGGCTCAATGACCGCTATTAAATGTGGCATAGTCAGGCCCAACATTATCTCCACACAGGGGTCTTCCACAGCCCTGTCTATTCCAAAAGGATGAGGGGCTTTTTAAATACCTATATTGATATGTAGTTTTTACTAATTGACTCTTCCTGCTTCTGTTCTAATATAATCACATCTTTCACTCTACTATCTACTCAAATACTTTAAGGAGAGTCTCAGTGTGCTGGCCACTTGTAAGTGAGGTTTCAATATTGACCCAAAAAGACAAAATTCTCCTGCCTCATGGAGCTTTCTAGTGGAGGTGGGAGACAAACCAGCCATCTGGCAAAACATAATCACTGAAAAAAACAACTGAAGCTAGTTTGGGGCTGGCATTACTTCAAGTGAGGAGTCAGGAAATCCTGAGCTCACAGAGAAGATGCTGATTGAGCAGAGCCCAGAAGGCGGTGGGGAAGGATAGGGTAGGGATGCAGGGGAATGGAAAGTGGCTGGCTGGCCATTGGCACACACTGGAGAGTGGTGGCAACACAAGTCAGAGAGAGTCTGGCCACTCTGGCCCCTCAGTGTGACCATCATGATGGCACCTCTGGTAGAATGAACACGCCCAGTGCTCCCATGGCCAGTGCAGGGCAGGCCCCGGCTATAGGCCCCAGGCAGACATGTGGGTAGACCCAGTAGAGGGAGCAGGAGGAAGTCCTTTTTGGAAAATCAGAAGCAAGGTTATCAGCTGAGAATAAGGATTAGAGAGGATGTGGTAGGGGCTTGAGAGCAGAGCAGAGAGTAGGAAGACATCTTCTGGGAGGGAATGGACAAGGGAACCAGCAACCTCAGGGGCTGCAGACATGAAAGCGAGGCTATTAGCTCCGTGGTGTGCTTCCCTCAGCCCCATTGCCAGCACAGGTGAAGAAGCGGCATACTCAGTGATGAGTCAGGTAAATGTGGTGAGGAAAGCGGGATGCAAAGCACCTAAGGGCGCATACATGGGATGTTATAAAGAGAGGTCATGGAATCTAAGCTGGGGAGCTGGGAATAGAGATCTGGAAGGAGGATAGTGGAAATCAGTAGGATCAATGGACTGCAGGTGTTGGTGGAGTTCAGGTATGGTTGGAGTTAGGGTATGAAAGAGGGTTGAATAGAAGAGGTGGTGATCAGAGACTGGGATGCTTAGAGAGAGACTGGGTTGAGACCTTGCTACAAAGCATGGTTCCCAGACCAGCAACATCAGCAGCCCCTGGGGACATGTGTGAAATGCAGCATCTCAGACCTACTAAATCAGAATCTACATTTTAACAGGTGACTCATGTGCACACTAAATATGGAGAAGAACTGGCTTACATTTTGGGTGAGTTGGCTCAACCTCCACTTGACCAGAAGCTGCAGGCACCCTATAAAAAGGTGTTATTGAGTAAGTTTCTGAGGTTAGGGACTTCCCTGGGGTTCTACTTCCTATCCTCTACTTTAAAAAGCTCATTTTGGCTTCTTGGCTTTCCAGCCAGCTGCCTGGTACCCTTGCTCCATCCTACCTTATAACATTACAGTGTAGTTGGCAGGCTTTAGATCCATTTACCTGGGGATGCTGCCCCTCCGAGGACCTTGCCCCCATTTCCACACTGTCTGTGGGCAAATGGCATCCCTCACTTCCTGAGAACCAGTTCCAGATAGCCCCTCTGCTCTCATTTGCCTTCAGGCAGGCAACCAGTTATTTAGTGCCTTGGATCCAGCCTGCATTAATTCCACATGCCCACATAGATCAATTACTAGGCACAAATGCAAAATATATAGCATTGCCATCGTGGCTTTTTAAAGGTTTAGCTTCCTGCTATAATTACTCTGGTTTTATATCTTCCCTATATAAGCAGACTGCCTTCACTCTTTATAGTTAATTTTATAAGACAAAGAACACAACAGCTGTATACATTTCAGAATGAAGGATAAGGGTGAGCCTAATTAATGCAGCTTTGCTCCAATAACAACCTTATTCCTAATAAACAGAGTGTGAAATTTTCATTAACCCAGATACAAACTCCTGTACAAATAGTCACACATGAAATAACATAAAAAGACCAAATTTAGAATCTCTCACTCTTCTCTAAGACCCAAATGATAGCAGATGCTGTCATTTGTAATAATTGTATTACAATTACTAAAATTTTGTAGTTAGGAGTCAGTATTTGCAGACCTGTGCTACATATACCGTACATCCTCACCTTAGCTCATGCTAATGGGAATTCCATGGGCTCTGTACTGTTGTTATGCTGGCTCCACAGTGGGGGAAACTGAGGCTTGGGAAGGTTAAGGAACACAGGCAGTGAGTAGTGGAGCCAAGTGTATCTGCCTCCAAAGCAGTGCGCCATCCACATACATCATTTTGGATAATGCACCTACCGGGTGTCCAGGTAGTTTTCTCTGCATCTTTGCACCCCTAAGCCTACACACAGTCACTACTCAATATTCCACATGCCTATTTGAATCAAGAAGGTATAAACCCATGGCCTCTAATCCCATTATTGGTAAATATTTGATCCAGACACCCTTGGCTAGATGTGACCACCTTCCGATCTGTGATAATTCTTTTAGCTGTGTCTCAGCTAGAATAAATCCATGAGCTGAGTCAATGTGACATCACTGGCAAACTGATATAACTCTAACAAGCCTGCTCATCACCAGGGGTATGAGAGTGCAATCGCCAGTAGGTGGGTGGTCCCACTTCCAGGAACAGAATCTGTCCTACTGTCAGGAGGAAATGCTGGCATTAGCCGCTCATCTGACCCCTTCATATGGTAAGACAGTGGAGCCCTCAGGTCTACTCTGGAAGTGGGCAGAAGAGAGAGAACTGACTCTAAGCCTTCCTATGTGAGTCAGTCACCACAAAACACTGGACACGCCAGCTTCCTTTCTTGCATCAGTCAACTGCCCACTATGCAGAGATAATAGTGTCTGGCCCTGCTTTCTCTGCATCCCAGGAAGAATGGGAGGATGACTGGAGCCTTCAAGGCCCTTGGGCAGGAAGAGCTGAGGTTAATGGACTTGTGTCCACACACCCAGTATTGAACAACACAAAATCAGGCTGCGACACCTGCACATGGTGATGAGAGTTCTGCATGGGGGGCTAATAACGTATTTATTTTGAAGTTAGTGAGCCAAAATAAACAACAATAACAACAAAAGAAACCTCCGAAACTGACCTTCCCATTCCCCAAAGCCCATCTGTAAAATAGAAACAGAAACATTTTGTTTTTTAAAAAGAAAACTACAAAAAAAAAAAAAAAGAAAAGAAAAACAGGGCAACCAAGTGTTTCGGTTTCCCAGATTTTAAAAGGACAAAAGCTGTAAGAAAATAAATATCCCAAGGCCCATGTTAAATATGTAAACTTTTTATTGTAATATGTTCTGTATCTGGATAAATATTTATTACTCTATGTTTATCACTGTTCTATGCATATTTCTCTGTTTTAGGTTGTCAAATCTGATAGAAGGGGGCCAAATAGATTTAGTTTTTTATGTAAAGCATGTGAAATTGCTATGCATAATTAGGCACTTAAAGGGTTTTTGATGAAGATGATTATGAAGAATGAGAACAGTTAATAGCAAAGTAGCACATTTACCAAAATTGTCCTGTCTTTCTGAAATGTCGGATGATCACACTCTCACAGATTTGTAGAGGTAGCCCAGGCTTAGAGATCATGCAGCATGAGCCAAACATCCGGTCTGTGGCCCTGAAGCACCAGCCCCACCCGGAAATTCCCTGGAAGGCAAACCTTGGGCCCCACCCCAGACCTACTGAATCACAAACTGCTGTTTACCAGGATGCCCACGCAATCTGTATGCACGTCAAAGTGTGAGAGGCATAGGCCAGAGAACCACCTAGTTCAATGACTTCATTTTATAGACAAGAATTACAAACCCAGGAAGGCTGGGTGATGTGTAAGCAGTTACAGACCCTGAAATGTACCTCATACCTTCTGACCTAAGGTTCTACCACCTCTTGCTCCTTGAGGAATATTCCTTCTCAACTAACCCTTCTTTGGGTCTACAAATAAATAACAACCTACAGCTTCCCAAGAATACTGGGTTTTGTTTGCCATAGAGGCCTTTATTCTTTTGACATTTTGAATACACGTAGGAGATGCTGCAAACAAAAATCCAGAAAACCATCTTACAGTAGTGGGGTTGCTCACTACATGCTGCCAGAGATGAGAGACCACACAGTGATGGTGTGCGGGGCTGGACACCATGCTTCATGGTTGAGATCTGGATCCCACATTTTTTTTGCACATTCAGATCCATGATGCAGCCCAGGTTGCATTTAACCTACAACCTCTATTCCCCACTTCATTAAATGCTCCTAAACTCTTAATTTGTATATGGCTCTGCCTTGGAGCTCTAGAGTTCAAGCAAATGAATATGATTCAAAGGCTTAAGAATACCTATTCCAAGAAAAAAAAAACATTTTAAGCTTATGAAAACGTCTTTGAGTTGCTGTTAATATGCTGGTTGGTCACTGTATCTTTTAAACCAGCTCCCTCCAAACCTTTCCTGTCCAGCCATTTTACATACTTCCTAAATCAAATTAGGAGCCACTATTTTCTAATTAGGGGGATTTTATTATTGGTTTTCCCCTAGATTTCAGCCACAAAAAGTTGTTAGTAGAGAATTTTCAATTTCAAATTTCATCACTGTTGTGAACTGATTTCCAAAATGTTGAAAAGGACTGCCATGCCCTTTAATCAGATCTGTATATGGCAGACATCTATCTTGATTCACATTTAAATACCACCTGGCCCCTTCCCAATATATGGTGACTTTTCTGGAAAAAAATATCAATTTCTCCAGGTATGAAAAGATTGGTATACTTTTTCCACAACTCTAAAATTTTCTTCCACACATTTAGAAATTAGGAAAGAATTTGTTGGATATAAAAGAAAAACATTGAAGAAGGCATGTTTTAAAAACAAAAGATTAATTGAAGCAATAATTCAAAGGTTGGAGTAAGGGTCTGGACAGAATGTGCAAATTTTGCTGAAAGCAAAACATTTAGATTAGCTGGAGACAAGGACAGACTAAACTGTTGTGGGTACCACTACCTAAATAAACCTTGAGACCATATCAAAGAGAGCTAGAGGGGGCTGGCTTATGTTAGAAGAATTCTCCTTTCATAATAACATCCTTCATAAGATAACATCATCCTGTCATTTGGGGGTACAGAGGACTCCAGAAAAGATGAAGGAAAGATAGGACAAAAGAAAATACTGCTGGACTGCACATCTCAAGAAGCCTAACACAAACTGATTGATGTATCAGGTTTTAGGATACCTTGAATCCATCTTTAGGTGTTAAATCAGTACTATATTAAGCAGTTAGTCAGCACCTAGCTTATGGAAAGTGGAATGTAAAATCTACTAGCACTGGACTAATATTCCTAAATTTCTGAAAAGCAGCAACTCAATGAAACTATTAAGTGCTGCCCTTCGCATGAGAATGTACTCCCTGTTTGCCACAGTCCTTACCACTCCTTATTGTCTCCCAGATACCACCACCAAATCAGATGCTTTTGATTACTGCATGGCACTGTAGTTGTTTTAAAAGTAAAGTTAAAGGAAAGGTAGTTGTACCTGCCTCTCTACCAAATTGTTGACCTACAGCTTTGAGGGCTTTGAGATTCTCTGGCTCACTTCAGTCACTTAGGATACCACCTGAGTTTGTGACTCTTGCCCTGATTAATGCTATTAGGCTGTTATCTCTGCTAGGATCATGCTCTCCTCCCTTTTCCCATCTACCCAATCAAAATTCATTTCTCAAGGCTTATGCAGTCTTTCTGACCTTGTTAGTCAGAATTTACTGTTTCATTATTTTGTGTACTAACATTTTAAAATGAGTTCTCTGGACTACAGATCACTTTAGGCCAATGATTGAGTCTTTTTATTTTCCTCCTCACAGTTTTAAGGCCTCCCATTGCTCACAACATCCAGCCAAAGCTTCTCAATCTCCTTGCTTTGGAGTCTTAATTACCACCATCCTACATACACATAAACACACCTTAGCATGGACCTGAAGTGTGAGCCTGTGTGCATATGTGTGTGTGTAGGGGGTGTCCGGCTGGGAGGTGTTGGGGAGGAAGAGAGAAGGTTAAAAAGACAAAGGAGGCATTTGTATGCCTTCCACATTTGGATCTCCTACCCCCACAGGACCTCCAAAGAAACAAAGTATGTGGTAAGGAGATCAGAAAAGATGAAGGAAAAAAAGTTGCTCCATTTTCTTTCTGTACTTATGAAACTCCCCCTCTTGCTTCACTCTGCAAACCAGTGGAAAATCAGATCTATATGGTGAGGTAGGATCAAGAGTGAGGAGGAGGAGGCAAAAGATAGGAGAAAAAAAATCCCATCTT